AAAAATTATATATTTTTTCGCGTAGAATACGAATCTGCAATAAAAAAATACCATGTTCTACTTGAAAATCCGACTTCCTGTTTGGATGACCCAATTCCGGCCTGTTTGGATGGCCAGAACCGGAAGTTGAAAATATTATATCATCAGTATATACCCGATTTACTTATTAAAATTTTGGAATCATATCATAAAAATCATCAGTTTACATCAGTTTTAAATAAATGATACAGGTCTGAAACACGCTGTGTATACACGCGCATGCTCTCGCGCGCACAGTGGCGTGCAAAAGTTTCTGGCCAATGACATTTTGTACTCTAATTCATAAGAAAAAACTTGATAAAATTTTAATCATTATCTGGTGTTAATACAAGCTGTGGGTAACGAAATTTTATACTAACACCCGAGAATGATTATAAAATTTTATCAGATTTTTTTTTATAAATTAGAATACACCCTGTATAGCCACCGTGTATATATATATATATATATATATAATGTGTGTGTATGTGTGTGTGTGCGCGTGTGTGTGTATATGTATATATAAAATAGAGCCCGGATTAGTGATCGCATCAATCGCTACTAGCTATCTCCATTACACTTCATCGCCATGGCGCCGAGCGTCGTCACGACTTCAGGTGAGTGGAAATAAAGAGAATTATGAGGAACATGTTACGGTTGATTGAAACCGGTACGTCGATCGACGGATAATCCAGGCTCTATATTGAGTGTTCAACATAAAGCATTACAAATTTTTATCTCAGCAACATTATTGAAAAAAATTGTAATTTAGAAAAAAGTTGTAAGGTTCAAAAAGATCTATTTACTGATCTCATCAATTCGACTTTGTGTAGTGTTGCCAAGGTCAGGTCAAGGTTACGTCAATTTTTTTTAATGGAATACTACTTTTGATTCCAGAATCTAATAGCCGATGTCGAGAGCTTTCCAAAATACTATAATAAAGTTATTTACATCGGCTATTAGATTCTGAAATGAAAAATAGGGTATTCTATTTTAAAAAAATCGACGTGATCTTGATCTGATCTTGGCGACGCCACCCAAAGTCAAATTAGATAAGATTAGTAAATAAATCTTTTTGAATGCTACAACTTTTTTCTGAACAATTTTTCTCAATAATGCCGTATTTCCGATAAAAAATTTGTAACATTTTATTTTGAACACCCGGTATACATATATACAGGGTGTTCCAAAAATAACGATAAATCTTTCGTACAGGGACAGAATATATTAAACCGAGAAGAAAAGTCCTCTACCATTTTACAATTTTTGCAATAGTTAACAAGATATTAATTATTAAAGATTGTCGAAAATTGATTTTCAATAATTTTTTACTCAAATACTATCAACTTTACAGAAAAATTGCAAGAGACAAAATGTTAATTTTTTTTCTCGTAGAGCTGTATGAATTTTTTCAAAATTTTTTATCAATTTTTTAGTACTGTATTTTCTTATTTTTACTATATGAGAAAACACGATATTAAAAATTTCTGAAAAAATTCTTAAAAAATTTTTAGAGCTCTAGGAAAAGAAAATCATTTTTGTCTCTTGCAGTTTTTTTTGTTTTTCTGTAAGTTGATTTGAGTAAAAAATTATTAAAAACCAATTTCCGGCAATTTTGAGCAAAATTAATATTGTTAACTATTGCAAAGAGGACTTTCCTTCTCAGTTTAGTCCATTCTGTCCCTGTGCGAAAGATTTATTGTCACTTTTGGAACATGCTGTATACGTGCGTGCGCGCGCGTGTGTGTAATACAATATATATTAAAGCATTTTAGAACAGTTTAGAGAATGTTTTCAAGTTACCCTATCATTCGGGACCCATTCCTCCTTAGTAGGTACATTGACAGGCATAACAAATTCATTATTTTCTGCCTCAAGATTAGGTTGTGACATATTTTTAGTTTTATTTTTTGTACCGTCACGCCGAAACGATACACGAAAATCTAACGACTTTTTGGCGTAAAACTTTATAACTTCATAAAAATTGTTGATGCCTATATCGGGATGTTGTAAATTCTCTTGTAGCGAGTTCAAAATGTTTTGAATATTTTCAAATTTACAATTCATTAATAATTGTTCCAATATCAATAATGGCTCTTTTATCAAATGGATATATAACGATCTGTCTTTATCTTCCAATAGCTTTAGAATTTGTAGTCCTATCAAAGTTTTCCGATACTTCGGTCGCTCTGCTATTTTGCAGTAGTCTAACAAATAGTTAGTGATAAATTGTAATGCGCTGATAGATTCTAATTTTTTAAGCACCCCTTTACATATTTTCATTGGCTGACTCAATGGTAACACTTGAAGAAACTAAAATATTATCGAATCAATAATAAGTATTTTCGAAGCTGATTATATGATTATCTTTATAAATAAATTCTTGTTTACCTTTAAAGCTTGCTTGAAATCTTGCTGCTCATTTTTTAAAAGGCCTATTAAAAAGTCTTGGCTCATAGGGGTTTGCATCTCCAGAGAAAACGCTTGACATTCCAGCCATTCCAAACATAACTCGAACTGATCTGCGTCGATCAAGGACTTAATAATTTTAAATGGATCGATCTTCCCCGTACAATATACAATATCATACCACGTAATGTTTGACTTATTCATACAGTACGGAATCATTTTATGGAAGATCGTTATTCTGCACAAGATATCGTTCATCCGATGTTTGCAGTGCACTGGCAATTTATGATTGTGCTCGTGCTGCAATGCATGACATAATGCGTGCTCACATAAAATCATAGGCCACTTGTTAACATTGTGTAATATCGTTTGCGTTAATATATGTATATCTTTGATTTGATACAGATACTGCAGCATACTTGTGACAGATAGTACACCTAAATTGGAGAGCATGTGACTTAAAATCAAATCCTTGAAGCGCTGTAACTCTGCACTGTATTTTATAATGATGTCAGCTAGAGCATTTAATACCTCCAAAGAATCCTGCCAATTGTGATCTTTCCTAAATTCAAAATAATGCCATAACTCGTGCTCAGGTACGCTATCATGAATAGCGGCGAGAATTTGATTATTGTTAAATAAGAGTTTTAGCTTGTTCGTCCACGGAGAATTCACAAGATTCTCAAGACACATTATACGTTTTACATTATCATAATTGTTCTCCAAAATAGTCGGATTTTCGTTATGCATTCTTTGTACAAGATAAGAGACGAGCCAACAATGTCTTTCCAGATATTGCAATAAACTAGTTCTTAATATACGAGTCTGCCAAAGTGATGTCTGTATAAAATTTGTGGTTGTGACAGTAGATATATTATATTTGGAATATTTTAGTATCACTTCGTATGTATAATTAGACGTCATGTATTCCAGATTTATATCTTCGTTTAATTTTTCGAAATCGGCTATTGAAGGCAAACTCCTGTTAGTGTTTGTCTCACCATCAGTATCTCGTGAAAATGTGTTTTGATACTGTCTCACAAGATTGAGTAAGCTGATTTTTTGTTTTGGCTCATTTACAGACTCATCAAGTGACACCAATGAATAATACGCGATATAATCATTAGTCGCTTCATTTAATGCATCGTTTAATGTCTGCGCTTCATACACCTATAATGTTGAACATATTGATCATATCCATCCTTTATCACGACAAATAACATTGTTTAACAAAAAAAAGAGCATAGGTGATAATTGTTTAGATGCTGGATACGCATACCAAAGTACTCTATCATGTCACAATTTTGAGAAAGAATCTTTCCAATTTTTATACAGCTTCTGTGTCCTTTACATATAATAACCAAAATTTAATTATTAAATTTAATTATTAAAATTTAAGATTATTAGACAATCAAAATATTTCACAATCAAATCTTCATGATTAAATACAAATTTCTTGTGTGAATTTAAAACATTTGTGTGCTGTTTAGAGATATATTCTTTGAAATACTGTTACATTTTGATATGATATATATATATATATATATATATATATATACATATATTTAGAAGATAGATTATTATTTTTATAGTTATCATTTAATATTCAAAAATTTTAAAGAACAAATTTTTTAAATAGTCAAACATATTTTCTTTTAAAAGACTTTATCATTTATGTCCCTACCTTCGGGACATATCTCTTCTATTGTAACAGTGACTAATTAACCAACAGAAAAATCGTAACACATTTTAAAATAACTTTTAAAAAAGTAGTTAAGTGACAAAAAATAGTTTATTACTAATCACGTGCTAGTCTATAAACTTATAACTATAATAATATGTGATAATTTGCTAAATAAAGCAAATGGACGAGCGAACATATGTGCGTGCTACTCAAATGTACACTTAAAACTTTATCGACATATGTTCGAAGCATTAGACTTTTGATAAATATACATTAAAAATAAAGAAAAATAAGTATCACGTGACATTACTGGTGTTCCGTGTACCCATTTTTTTATTAGCGATTATTAATATAAAAATATTCAAATTGTTCAAAACATGAAAAGTATAAAAAATATTTTTTAAAAACTTATTATTCAAACTTGAGGATTTTTCAGATCGTTGAATACTAATTTGATAACCAATAAAATTCAAAATTTAATCAATATGGCAGATATTAAAATTTAAGAATATTTGAATTTTTGGAATAATTAAATTTTTTTCACATAATTTATATTGAATTATCAAACTGATATAGATGAATCATATATTAAGCAAATTAGTATTCAGCAACCTATATAATTTTTAAGTTTGAATAACATAATTAAATCATACAGAGAGAGATTCTTAAAAGCTTTATACAAGTCGCAACTTTGCTGCAATAAAATTTATTAATAAATATTTTTTTAATCATACTCGGCATGATAAATTCCTTTAAAAGATTGAAAATCCTGACAATATTAATTTTAATTATAATAAAATTTCTCTGACATGTTACACAGTATAGATATAATATGCTAAAATACTCTAAAATATTCCTCTTCCATAACTATAATTGCAAATTTCTCAAAATTGACGTGATAGAGTAATTTGGATTATATTCAAACGCAATTGTATTCAATACCTAAAAACTATGTAAATCCTCATTTTTTGTCAAAAATTAAATTTTTATTGAACAGTATAATTAATCGATGCGTCAGCTTACACGAATCTCAGGCGTGCCGTAAAACTCATTAGCCATGGCGAAGATAATCCTTGGATTTTGCACAAGATCTAAATCCTGCCATGCCAATTCATTGAGCTCTTCCACTCGCGTGAAGAATTTAATATCATTCGCGAGCTTACCCAGTAATTTCGATCGAAGAGCAGCAAGTGTCACTAGGCCCAAATCACCAATTATATAACCGATCGACATCAATGAAATCGTATGCCTCAAACTTTCGAGAGGCGGATCTTTGGACCATACATCTAAATTCGCATGAAGAAACATAACGTTCCAAACATTCAAAAAAAACGTCAATGTTTCGTCTCCTACAGATAATTCGCCGAGATCGAGACTGGCAAGATTCGATGTTTTGTTTAGAATTATTCGTATATCTGTATGATCAGAAATACTTCTCAAGTACGAATTATCCAGATGAGATCGTCCTGAACTTACGTTGCATAAAATCTGTAGAAGCTCTGTCAATATTTCCGAAATATATTGATTTGGTCTTTTTATTACATTTTTTACACCCTGTAAAGATATTTCATATTACACTATATTACATATTGTTTATTATATGTATACAGAAGTTGTAAAGACCGTAACAACGCTTAATGGGAGATTCCAGACATTATATTTTGAGACGAAGACTCTAATATCCAAATATCGAGGTTATAATAATTTGTTAACAAATATCAATTTTATCTTCACATACGTAATTTTTATATCAATATTAAAAAATGACTATTAGCTTTCGCTTTTAGCACTTTATGTATGTTGTATCACACTCGAACGCGAAATTTTAGGCGATATGATTCGCTAACTTTAAATGCTTATAATTGAAAAACTATATTATTGCTTCGATATTTTCATATTAAAATTTTTGTCTTAAAATAATTTCAGGAATCTACTCTTAAGCGTTGTTACGGTCTTTATGGAACATTATATATATTATTTATTAGTTTTTTAGCACGATTAGTTTCCTACCAATTCTTCTTGATTTTTATTCAGTATAATGTATTCCGAATCTTTGATACTACTGCACTTTTTTTTATCATAACAAGAAATATTCGGATATGCGTTTACAAGCATACTATATATTAAGTTCACTTGCAAATTAGAAGCGATCTTTTCGAGCTTATCTGGCTCTGTATTCAAATCGAATATCTGATATCCAAAATAATGATGTAATGGAGTTTTTAATAAATCAGATATTATTTGTATATTAGTGTCATCTAAAAATAAAATAATAAATTAGTATATGTCTAATTAGTTTAATTTTTTTCTTACTGTATAGTGTCTCATAAAACAGCTATCTTTTTATAATTTTTCTATGTTTTAACACAATTAATTTGTATTGATATTTTTATGTTCTTATATGTATGCATGAATAATATAAATATGTAATTATTTTGTATTAATAATAAATAACATGTCAGTTAAAATTTTTTATACACTTTTTATACAAAAAAAATTATGTTAAAAAGAAAAAATTCATGTAGATAATAAATATGTCCTGAATATCCTTTATATTAATATTTTTAAAAGATCTCTCATTTTAAATCTGCATTTTATAATTTAAAACAACGATCCAATATGGCGACCAAAATGACAACTAATAATAGAATCTCATAATATATAAAAAAATACTGATTTTAATGAAATTTTAGAAGAAAATCCTAGAAAAAGCTAACATAGATTTCCTAAAGAGACATCCTCTTATTTCATAGGAAAAAAAATTAACTATGGTACTTTATTAATATTTATTAGTATTAATAAAGTACAATAGTTAATTTTTTTTAAACATAATCTGTTTAGATAATTGAAGAAATAAAAACTCATAATTTATATATTTGTGGTTTGTTTCTATTTAAAAATCTTTTAGTTTTTTTGTGTAGTATATAAAATCGACTAAAAATGAATTCTATCAATACAAATCAATGCGAAAATAAAATTCGTATAATATTCGTATAATAACCTCGAAATAATATATTTTAATTTTTTAATAATAATCATAATAATCATATAACATTCTAGGAATATTTTACGTTTATAAGAACGATCCACTTTGAGCAAATATAGAATTTTTCTTATTTGATTAGTTTTATTTTTAGCTTTTGTTTAAAAAATATTATCTAAAAACAAAGTGGTATGTCAATATTGGTGACTTTGTTCTACACATATGTAATAAATAATAAATTTTATTTAGAAATGATTAAGAAACAATATTAAGGAAGGAAATCATCCTCATATGTAAAACAGTTTTTGACATTTTTTTGTATCTCAAAAATTGTTGAAAATAAAAAAAATCTTATACAAAGAATTAATGATAAAAAAAATATCTCTATTGTGCTTCTAATCAATACTTTTAACTAAAAATATTGATAAAAATTATTTAATTGACATAAGGAAACCCATTGGGAAATGATCTTGTCCTTGACGTACATATGTTATTAAGATCATTGAGGCTGGGTCCCTTTTTGTCAACTTTTTACCAAAAAATTAATAAAAATAAAATAATTCAATATAGAAAAAAGCAATGCAAGCCAACGCTGGTTCTTATTGCGAATATCTTAATATTATTTATTCATAACAAAATGTAATAAAGTCTAGACGTTTCGATCATTATTAAGTCATCTTCAATAATATTTCCGTATTTGAATAATGTTTATGTAAATTCGTCATTAAATTTCTCTTATTATTCTCCTATCATTATAAATAATTGTCTTAAGAGACTTACAAAAGATTTACAATTAAAATAGTTAAAAAATATAAATAATATAAAATATAATTGAAAATATAAATTGAGAATGTAATCATTAAAAATTTCGCTTGTTTATTATTCGCCGTTTTGTTTCGTATATGTATATGTTCCATTCACAATATGTGCCATTTCATTTCTTTTATCAATTACTCAATTTTGCCAAGAAAAGGCTGGTATTATACATTTCTATTTTTATTTTCTTACAACAACCGCGGACAATATTTGCATGGAAGTCGTCATTTCTACAACATCAAATTAAGAACTTAAACGAATTTATTAAGAAAGTCATTAAAGTAATACAGTCGTTATAAATTTGAATAAAATTGTTTAAGATTCTCTAACATTTTTTCAAAAATTGATAATTCATAATGACCGTATCAATTTTAATGACTTTTTGAAAAAATTTTAGAGAATCTTAAACAATTTTATTCAAATTTATAACGATTGTATTACTTTAATGACTTTCTTAATAAATTCGTTTAACTTAATAATTAATTAGACTAATTTTATTACTTTAATGACTTTTTTATTAAATTTGTTTAACTTAATGACAAATTTGACTTCTCACAAAACTTCTCACAAAAGGTTGAGTTCTTGATTTGATGTTGTCAAAAATCGACTTCTATGTCAATATTGATCACGGTTGTTGTAAGAAAATGAAAATAGAAATGTATAATACCAGCCTTTTCTTGGCAAAATTAATTGATAAAAGAAACGGAATGACACATTGTGGAATATATATGATTATAAGCAAAGCGACGAGTAATAAACAAGCGAAATTTTTAATGATTCTCAATTTATATTTTTCAAGTGATGGGAAGTACTTTCATTAATGTATTTTTTAATGCTCATGTGAAATAAATAACATTCTTTCATTAAAAAACGCTACGAATTAATTCCAACACCTAATATTATTTATATTCTCTAACTATTTTAATTGTAAGTCTTTTGTAAGTTTCTTAAGACAATTATTTATAATGATAGGAGAACGATAAGGGGAATTTAACGACGAATTTACATAAACATTGTATTCAAATACAGAAATACTATTAAAGATGATCTAATAATGGTCGAAACGTTTAGACTTTATTACATTTTGTTATGAATAAACAATATTAAGATATTCGCAATAAGAACCAACGTTGGCTTGCATGCTTTTTTCTATATTGGATTGATTTATTCTAGAAGCCATTATTTGATTGTATTTAATATTAGAAAAATAAAATAAAATAAATCAATAAACAAAAATATTAAAAACAAAAAAAAATTAAAAAATCTTAAAAATTAAGAAAGATAGAATTAGAAACTCGCCATATCTTTGTTGTTAATTTTAGATTATGCAAAATATAAGGTTTTTTCATTAAAAAAAAAAGAATATAAATTTTTTTTCGATATTAAATCTAACATATTCAAACATAAACTTAAATTATGATCATATTTGAAATCAGAAGTCTAAAAAAATGTATAAAATTCCAATTGCGTATAAGACAATTTTTTTTTAATTTGACTATATATATATTAGTTCTGCCATTTTGACTTTTTATTTCAACTTCAAATTTGTAATCAACGACTTCAAAAACTCTCATATACTAACATTCAATAAAATATGATTAAAAATAAATTTTGTGCAAAAAAGGATGAAATAAGATAAATAAATGAACGAGTTTATTAATACCTGGGATGATAGTAGATATAAGCTGTAGATACAAGTAGATGTTGTAAAGATATTTTTTGCTATCAAAAATATCAGATATTTTTTTTATCGTTTTTAATCCTAAAATATAATTATTGCTGCAAGATTGCGTCTCCATAATCTCTATTTTTTTGAAATCATATAGCATGTGATAATTATTCTCAAATTCGTTCCAAGTGGCATCGTTTTCTCTCCATTCCTTTACATATAATGGAATTCTGGCGTCACACAGTATAACATTCACAGACACATTATTTCTATTTTCGTAAAACAATTGATAAATTTTTGAAAAGAAACTCGCATGCCCTGTGCTGTCAAACGTTTCACAGAGTTTTAGATACTTCATCGCTACATCACATAGATTACTCGAGATCTGATATGTTTGACCCATAGTCAAACTTAGATCCAGCGCGCTAAGAGTTAATATTTCGTTGCTACGTAGAATATTTGTATCTAATATTAGTAAATGTACTTGTTGAGATGCTAAAAATGTTTCAAGTTGGTTGATATACTTAGAGGACTGTACACCTTCCTGTGCAGCAAATTTTATATTCTGTAAACGTATTGTAATCTTACTTATATTACAATAAGATTTATCATATAAATCATAAAATATATTTACCTCTAATGTAGAAGTTTTTGAGCTTTCTTTAAAGGAATCTATTGAGTCTAAAGTATGAATATGTTTATATAGATTCTGCTTAAACGTGTGTAGTGCTTCTGAAAATCGAATCTCACCATCCAATTGTGTGTTTTCCATGTGAAACATCTAGGGAATAGAATATATTTTTAAATGATATTAGAAGAAGCTTAAAATGCTAAATCAAAAAGCAGCTATATTACTGTTAATAATTCAGATTCGTATCTTACAAACAATTTCACATGCAGTTAAGTAATTAAAACAAACTTTATTTGTAATCTTTAATTTAAATCATAATATCTTGATCAAAATTGTAATAGTTATTCAGTATAGATTGATGTACGGGATACCAAAGTCTTTGAAATTGCGTTGGATGATGCAAATTATGACGAAGAGAATGAAAACGAAATGATTCAACCAGTGGATCTTGCGGATTTGAAATCTCTTGTAAAAGACGAAAGCAGATATGAACCATTACATTCTCATGTAAAATATTACAATGAGCATAACGCCGAAAGTAAAAACCGGTATTCAGATATATTTCTGCTGCAACCACGTATAAAAGAAATATTCAATTTGGAACAAGAAAATAAACCATTTATTGCTGGTTTTAAGCATAATTTAGATAAGGTAAATATTTTTATTAAAAAAAGTAAAAGTCAAACGTTTTTCATTATTAAATCTATACTTAAAATACTACAAAAAAAAATCAGTAGAAAATAGGAAAAAATTTTTAAATTTCAAATGCTTGCAAGGCAGTATATAATTATTGCAAAGATGCTTAAAAGATGAAATGAAATTTGAAGTTTGTATTTTAGTAAATTTTTTGTACTGATTAGGTGAGATAATTTTCCAATGAGATAATTGTCTTTATTTACAAGAATTTTTAAGAATAATTCTCTTTATTTACAAATGGCACGTAACAATTAACGTGTCACTTCTCGCTTCTAATGTCACGATTCAACATGACTAATCACTAAAGAATCTTAATCGGTATCAAAAGTAAGTTTATCAAAATACATTCTTCAAGCTCCATCTTCGTTTTTTTACTCGTATCATAATTATTAAATGGTTTATGAGCATTTAAATTTCTTAATTTTTTCCTATTTTACTGCACCGCTTTTTCTTTAAGTATATAATGTATTTTTCCAAAACCATCGGGCCACTGATGTATAACAATAATACAATTAACACAAACAATTAATCACATTCATTGATTTTAAAAATATAAAGTTCATATATTAATCATATTTATTAATTTTTTAATAAGAACAAAAGAAATGTACGGAATTTTGAGAGATTACAAAATTATAAAAAAGATACAACAAACGTTGTCACAGGTACTAATTAATACGTGTAATTAATCACATCATATTATATCTATATTATAATAAATGAAAAGAGAAGAAATAAATATGCGTTAAATAAGCTATTCTTCTGTTGGCAAATAAATAGACAAAAGTGTAAAAAGTGTTAGAATAAAACGCGAAGAGACAACAAATCATTATGGAGTAATAAACAAAGAGATGGATTTTTTCCAAGTTATAAGAGATAGGAATATTACAACTAGTAAGACAGAAACAACGGAATATTTCGTGGTAACGCCAGAGACACAGTATAACTTGTATGAATATGATCAAAAAACTGCAAATGAAGAAATCAAAATTACTGTGGATCAGTTTTTAATTTCGAAAAGAAGAGTTGCAGATAAAAATAATTCTAATAAAGATTCATACGATGAATACAACAAACTTAAAATGGAATACGAACAGCAACTGGAATATGATATAAAGGAAGGAAAAGTACTGAATTATAGTATACAGAAAGAATCGAAGGATATGCCAAAAGGAGTATTGAAAAGATTAATAGATTTAAAACCATCGAAGAATTGTACGAAGGAAGAAATGAGCCAAATCGGAATCAGAGCAATAGAATGTCTTTCATATGAGTTTCAGCGCACGAAAGACATAATGGCCGTGAAGATGATTCTTTCGAGAACATGGTTGGTCCTCCGAGTTTGGTTGTTAATTTATATTTCTGTGGCAATTCCTTGTTGGTGTCAAAGAGGTAATTTCATCAATTTTGTATCTTTTCTTGGAAAAATTATTATATGGAAATATTATAATATTGTATATGAAAATTATACTATATTTTAGGATGGTGTTGCTGGTGTTTCCGTTGTAAATTTTGTTTTCCACGAAAAAGGATCATGTTCATCAAACGATATTACGCAATGAATCCGCCTGGCATTTTCGTGAAGGATTTAAAAAAGGAGAAAGAGTCTATTAAATATGAAGCTACTAAAGATGAATACGACACATACAAGTCTTTCGAAGCTGCAATAAGAAATTTATGAATATTAATACATTCGTTATTTGTTAATCGCATATAATTTAAATCCAATTTAGATATTCATTGATTTATATGTTTATCGACACTTTTTTATTCAGAAATAGAAACATTTTCCTAGATGTACGAGTAAGAAATACGTTTATTTTTAAACGATGAATGTGCTAATATTCATTAATTATAATTGTACTCAAATCTTACATCATGATATATTGATAATTTGTTTGTGCGGCATAAAAACTATTAAAACATTTGTTTAACTTTAATCTAATTTGTATAGAAGACAAAAAGTTAGTAAATCAAACACAATAAAAATGCAAATACGAGTAAATATTAGATAATAATACGATGTAAATACTAGATGAATGTGTACATAAAATTTGTTATTTAAAGATATAAAAAAAAATGTAAACGATTCGATCTTTTGTCTTAAAAATCCTCTTTACTACAATCTTAAAAAACAATTAAATGTGTCAAGTCAATTATAAAATTACATTAGTAAAAAACATGTAAATTGTTGTCAAATGGAGTGATAAGGTGCATATTCAAATAGTGATTACACATTGTAAAATTATTAGGTGTTGGAATTAATTCGTAGCGTTTTACAAGTGATGGGAAGTACTTTCATTAATGTATTTTTTAATGCTCATGTGAAATAAATAACATTCTTTCATTAAAAAACGCTACGAATTAATTCCAACACCTAATACATATCTAGAAATAAAATAAGTTATTATATAGAATGCAAGGTTGGGAAAAGTACTTTACAAATTATTTATAAATTACATTGTATTGAGGAGGAAAAGTTCTGCCGTATTTCGTTAGTTCAAAATTATCTACAGAATATATTCATTGCGAAATTTTCGACTATCTGACGTAAAAGCTTAAAGTTTTTCCTAAAAATTCGTTTTTAAAAAATGTTCCTACTTTTGTTATCAAGTTACATGCGAATTAAATAAAAGAGCATTCTAATTTTGTTTGCTTATAATTCCATTGAAAATCATCATATCGCAATTAAGAAATCAGATTCTTAAAGCTGAAACTTTCCTCTATCGAATGATACAATTACTAATTTTTTAAATGTAGAATTATATACAAATTTGAGCTAAAAATGACATTATTTTTCTTTTAATCCTTTTGCGCAATAATTATAAGAATAGTGTAATTGTCATTTTTAGCTCAAATTTATATATATTTTATTTTTCTTAAATATTTTATTTTTCTTAAATAGGCAATTATATCATTTGATAGAACAATGTTTCAGCTTTAAGAATCTGGAGTTTTTTTCTTTTTTTTTTTAAATTACAATACATTATTACAGATGATTTTTAATGGACTTATGAGCAATCAAAGTCAGAATGCTTTTTTACTTATCCGCGAGTAACTCAGGAACAAAAAATCATAGGCATATTTAAAAAAAATAATTTTGTAAGGAAAGCTTCAAACTATATAGATAGTTAAAAATTTTTCATTTTTTTCCGCTCGTAGTTTCTATATATATATATGCAAAAATTATAAAACTCACTTAAATTAAAAAAATATAGTATTCAAAAGTAGAGATTCTAAGCTTGAAATTTTGATAATTTTTAATGAAGATATTGTATATATAATTTTTAACTAAAAAATATCGTAGAACTTTTCCTCCAATCTAATATTATACAAATTGAGTACAATATGTTTGTATTTTATTTTTTATATTATATTTTATCATTTCCTCCAATTTTGAATTACCTTTTATATTCAATTTCTATAACAAAAGCATATAAAGTAATCTAAAAAGTAACTTTCCCAACCCTGCTAGAGTGTTTAGTAACCACATCACCTCTCGTGAGCAGATGGTCGAGGACTAAATTAAGTTGAAAAGTCCTGAACCATTTTGTATCTTCCGTAATAGTTAATAAGTAATAGTTAAATTAATTTCTAAAGATCTTCGAATGAGTGTGTATCAGCTCGGTCAGCTCGGTTATCTCACCGTGAAATGCAAAGGCGGACGTACACGTTCATTCCGTGATCTTTCAGAAACTTCTTCACTGTCACGAAAATTATAAAAATGGTACAGGACTTTCCGATTTACACTAGTGCGTCCAATTAGGTGTTAAAGGGTGTTAAAAATGAAATGCAAATATTTCAAGTTATAAAATACATATGTTACCTCACAGCATAATAAAGTGTATTGAGTACTTCAAAATTTGATTTTCAATTTTTATGTTTATAATAAACATATTTATTTACGTCAATTTGCGTATGACGGCTTTAATGTATCAGTAATTTAATGCATTGATTTAATGTGCGTTCAATCGAATTCGCTATTAGTTTAGTCCACTTTATCTGCTCACGAGAAATAATCCGGTTATTATTGGACATTCTGTACAAAATTATAGTCGCAGACTTGAATTATCAAATTATTAATCCCGATTAAATGTGAGAATAGTTAAAAATCAAGTTAACTGATGTATGATATGAAAATAAGTTATTTGATATGATGCATTATTAGTATAAAACAACATTACCTCAACTACCTCTTGCGCTTTCTGAAAATTGCCTTTCCATAAACAATGTACAATCAGACTTTCTTTCGAGGCTAACATTAAATTTATTAAGGACAGTTTATCTTTCATTATCAAATGATCCGTCTTTTCTGAAGTAATTCGTGAACATTTTCTGCGTTTATTTTTACTTAATAAACCAGACTCCGAACTACTGTCAGATTTAACTTTAATTTCATCGGAGGTACTGTCTCCTTTATAAAAAAATGTGTCCCCTGTGATGCGATGTGGAAAACTCGGTATTTGAGAGATTATAGATTCTAATTTATTTACACCAGAGGGATTATCAGACTCGTCTTGTGGCGTACCAACATTTTCAAAAAAATAAAGTCCCATATGAAATTTCAATCTCCAACGAGTATCTATCAATGTTGACGTAAAGGTGGATACATTTTCGCGAAGCTGTTGCATTTCTTTATGCGATCCGAGTACTTGTAATTTATCAATTTCTTCTGTTGCAATCAAAGTACTCTTCCATAAATAGTATAGCATGTCTCTTACAGCATATTTATTAGCTATGAAGCCAGACTTCTCATATTCTATTGATTTACGAATATTGCAATCATCTTTTGTAACGTTGAAATCTTCATAACGTAAAAATAATAAAGAAAATATATTTTCCATTGTTTCTATTCTTAATGACAGAGGAAACAAAGAAGATAAGTGTGACATCATGTCAGAGAAGTATTTAATAATTTGTTTATGTTCCACGTTATAAAATTCACATAAAAAAATGGCTTTTAAGACGCTTATTATGCAACAATATGCTTGAAAACTCATAGACTGATCCAGAGACACCTCTTTCACTAAATCTTGAATGTCACTATAATCCTGATCATGTATATCTGTTATTAGTTTCAAGACAAAAAGTATATTGTGTTTTTGCAAAAGAGATAAAATTTGTTTTATAGATACTGTCTGCTCAATCATATCAGATTGCGAATTTTTTGATTCTTTGGCACTTAATTTCATATCTATAAAATGTTGTTTCTTCCACTGTAAAATGTATACTACAATTCTAATATAATTTTTTAAGAGCGCATATAATTTGTTTAAATGATCATCATTGTATAGATCGAGGTGACACTTCTCCAAGAAGAAGTTGATGCACTCACAGATAGAAATACCATTGTCATAGCTTTCGCGAGTATTCATTATTTCCTGTGGACAATCATTTAATACTTTAAATAATAACACTGGATATAATCTTTTTAACAAGTTACACGATAACAATAATTCAACTTCACTATATCTTCCTTTCATAGTCAAGATACAACATATATCCTGTAACATATAAAAATTTATTCTAATAGTCATTAAAATAAATTATGTATACATATACATATATATTATACTAGCATATAAACTGCGCGCGCGCGCGCGCGCGTGTGTGTGTGTGGGTGTGTGTGTGTGTGTGCATTATGTGGATATATACTACATTGAGAAAAAATGCTGTTGATTCAAATATTACAGGCTGTCACTAACATAAGTGATTAATTCATGTATATTTTTACTGACATAAAGGCCTTGATTATTGAAATAATAATTTATGCCTTTATATGTCAATAAAAATATACATGAATTAATCACTTATGTTAGTGACAGTCCGTAATATAGACTAATTAAATCAACAGCATTTTTTTCTCAATGTAGTCTATACTGTATAGTATGCATACATGCAGATGGATAGTAACATGTTATTTGCCATCCCTGCATATATACACATACAGCCATATATAATATATGTTAATTTGCTAATTTGTTAAATTGTTTTATCAATTAAAGGAAGCTTTGGGAAAATGCAAAACTTACCAAAATACCGTTCAACCAATGTAAATTTTTTGCACTTGTTCTTTTAAGTAATTCTTGTTTGCACAAAAGAATTTCAGAGTCTTCTGTTAATTCAAATACACTTTCACATATTTTATATACCGTAAGTAAAGTAACAGTGCTTTCAAAACACACGTGTGTTTTATTCCAAAATAAGAGCCATTCACTTAACAACTTATCATTTTTCTTTGAATATAAGGCAAGTTTAATATTTTTAATATACGATTTTGAAAGTGTAGGACAAACCGTTTTTAGAAATTCGATCTGCGAATCTGTATCTATATCTATTTTTGACAAAAAGTGTAGAACCATTTGTAGAGACTTGTTGCGAGTAGCTAAATCAGTTTCAGACGAATGAGCTATTATATCATTTAAGTGCCACCTTCTTCTAGGTGGAATGTGTATGACTTCTAAGTATGACTTCAAAGTAGAAAAATAACTATCTTGTAAATCTCTAGCAGTATCGCTTGGAACGAAAGATATTAATTTGTTTATAATCCAACACACAATTTCAGTATTGATACATATGTTATCTTTTACGAATATAAGGATTTGTTGGAACATAATACTCGAAATATATTTTATGCTACATTGTGTGCTTAGTTCTTGAAGAAATAATAACAATTCCTAGAAAATAGAATTTTTGTCATTAAAAATAAAAATAACACAAAGTCACAAAAACTAATTTTGAGAGAAATACCTTACGTAAACAGTCTGGTACATTACTGCATAGCTCTATTGCATTTTTTATTTGTATGCAATCAAATTGTGTCTGAATATTGGACTGTATACTACAGTCAACATTAGCTGACTTGTTATCTATAAGTTTCCACAGTAATACATAAGCGATCCATTGATATTGCTCTTCATTTGGGGAATGTCTATAAATGTATATTCCAAAATATAAAAACAAAAGCAGTGACAATAATATAATTCGTGATATAATTAATTGCTTACTTACATCAAACTTTCGATTACAGTTTCCAATTCTGTTAAGTCAATACAACAGTTGTGATGGAATTCATTCAAAAAATTGCTATCATTGTTTATATTGAAAATATTTAGAGATGTGTACCATAAACGAGAGAAAATGCATTTGTTTAATTCCAGCCCTTTTGTTTGTATCGACATTGCTCCACATTACTCTCTTTACAAAATTCTTCTTCTGACCGGTGGATTTCTGATTTCTTATAAAAATCCACAGTACCGCGTTCCCAAGTAAAGATCACTGGGCTGAAAGAGACTAGTCATATCAGTGCATCATTTTAATTTTATAAAATTGCGAGTGCGCTATTTCATTCGGGCGTTTTTGTTATACGACAAATGTTACAGAATAGAGAGATCCTTGGATCTCATAGCCAATCAACAGGCTTGAAAAATTTATTATATGACAAAAACACACAAATAAAATATCACCCTACCACACGTATTCATAGTCCTTCCTCCTTTTAAGCCTTAAACACAATGCGAAGGAATAGCGATAGCAAAACACGATTTCAACTTATCAGAAATCAGATACACTGGAGTATACACTTTCTGATAGATTGAAATCGTGTTAACGCTATTCCTTCGCATTGTGTTTAAAGCTGGAAACACAATGAAAAGCACAGGCAGTAGGAACAGGGAATAAAAGATTTCAACCTATCGGAAAACATTCATTCTATTTATTATTCATGAACACATAATGCATAAGAAAATGAATCAATCAAAGTCCTTTATTTCCTTTCTTTCCATAAAATAAAAGACTCTGATTGGTTTATTTTCTTATGCCTCATATTTTATGCGTTAAGGCTTAAACACAATAAGCACAAGAAACAGAGGATGACGAGTTGTCCAATCAGAGTTCTAGGATATAATATCGAACCAGAGCTCTGATTGGACAGCTCGTTATTCTCTGTTGTTATGTCTATTGTCTGTGCCTATTGTATTTAAACCTTTATGCAAGAATCTGTTACTCATATTTATAGTCTTTCTTTGAGGAATAAGGATTCCTTGTTCTTCATTTCACGTTTCATAAACTTTCCTTGACCAAATAAGAAGCCTTATTAATTTCCTTTTCTCAAGGGGGATTATGAGTTTCCTTGAGGAGGAGGTGCAGTTTTCATAACCAGACAAATCTCCAAATTTAATTCGTCACGCCGATCTTTTTACTTTCGATAGCTTTTTTCGGAAATAAACTCCTCTAAAAGCATTTTCTCCTTCTTCTTATAATAAACATTATGGCGAATTCGATTGGAAGCACTGATGCATATTAAAGCTGTTGTACATTGATTTGAGTATAAAAATAAAATGCAAATATTTCGAATTATAAAATACATATTTTATCTAATAGTACAATAAAATCTATTGAGTATTTCACAATTTAATCGATTATATATTTATTTATATGAATCATTTTTTCTTCGGACTTTCTTGACAGTAGTTTAAGGGATATACTCCAGTGATACATGTAAAATGTATATTATTTGAAGTAAAAATGTGACGCGATTTTTGTACACTCTTGGCGAATTCGATTAGAAGAACTAGTGCGCACTGGTGCATAAAGCCGTTGTACACTGATTTAATTTAAGTATAAAAGTGAAACGAAAATATTTCGAATTATAAAATACATATTTTATCTAATAGTACAATAAAATCTATTGAGTATTTCACAATTTAATCGATTATATATTTATTTATAAATATTGGGTCATCTAAAAAGTATCCGCGGTTTTTTGTCACTAGATGGGTTGATGGTCAACACCATCTAGTGACAAAAAACCGCGGATACTTTTAGATGACCCAATATATATTTACGTTATTTTGTACGGTGGTTTTAATGCGTATCAGTGAGCAATGAGTGCGTCCAATCAAATTCGCTATTAGTTTTATTTTTGTCCATTATTGTTGCAAAATGCTTAATCACGACCTTATTTAATCAACAATGCCTAATCTTTATTATTCGTAATTCATGATATTAGGTATGCATATACTATATATTGGGTCATCTAAAAAGTATCCGCGGTTTTTTGTCACTAGATGTATGTTGATGGTCAATATCTAGTGACAAAGTACCGCGGATACTTTTTAGATGACCCAATATTATGACATGCTACCCTCAGTTGGTTACTAAAATCCCTAAAATATTTCTTCCTTGGGAAGGCAGACTTGAGATCCGTTTATGAAACAAGGAGGCCTTGGAGAATCGAGGAATCCTTCATGGAGACTTCCTTTACTCTTAAAATAAGGAAGGACTATTACATTATTGAATATTACAAAAATGGTTAAAATTTTCACCTTTCACTTTCCATCCTAGGGATAAAGTTTCATGATTGATACCCATAAGCCATTATTTTGTGGTCGCGCCAAATAGACCACATCCTAGGCTACTTCTTTTATGCATTTTTGTCGTACGACAAACGTGTACAGAGAGATCGCATCTCTCTATTCCATAGCCAATCAACAGGCTTGAAAAATTTGTCGTGTGACTAAATGCACAAAAAATCACCCTAGAACTCTAATCAGTGACTGTGGTTTCATTCACAATAAGAGTTGGCAATCCTGACCATGCACTTGTAACTGCAAAAATAGACGCATTGGTTTTCATCACCTTCATAGTTTGTCGGTTTTGCGTAAATCAAATAATTGAATATTTTTCGTGTAATTTAACAGCCAACATGACCAAAGGTATAACAGAGATTGCGCTTCTGATTTTTAAATTAATTAAATACGAATATAATATAAATTGATTATATTTACACTTCTAAAAAGTAATAGATATTTTTAAAAGATATGAGAAGTAATATATTATTAAAAGTATAAGATAAAAAAAAATAAACAGATTGAAACAACTAAAGTTTCGAATAATTTATGTTTTTCTTCAGACGAAAATTTAGAAAAGAAATCCGTGGAACGTAATGATAGTGATAAGAAAGCAGTATCTGATTCTGGGCCTGATCCTTCTGCCCCAATCACAAGAAAAGGAGTATTAACATCCTTTTTAACTGGCAAAGCTATGGAAATACCAGAGCAAGATATTGTAATAAATTTAATACTTTATCATTTATAGTGAATTTTTATTTCTAAGATTTTATTAAACACGACTCTAGATTTTATTTATGTGTTGCAGCTTGGCAAATGCAGGTTTGTCTCTGAGTTTGAAAAACTGAATCGTATTGGAGAGGGTACTTATGGAATTGTGTATAGAGCCAGAGATACGAAAAATGATAAAGTTGTTGCATTGAAAAAAGTGAGAATGGAACATGAAAAAGATGGATTACCAGTAAGCGGTCTCAGGGAAATATCGGTTTTATTATCATGCCGACATGAAAACATTGTACATCTAAGAGAAGTAGTGGTAGGCAGAAGCTTAGAAAGCATATTTCTTGCAATGGAGTATTGCGAGCAAGATCTAGCAAGTTTATTAGACAACATGCAAGCGCCATTTTCAGAAAGTCAGGTCAAATGTATAGTATTGCAAGTATTGAAAGGTCTGCGTTATTTACATCATAACTTTATCGTTCATCGAGACTTGAAAGTTTCTAATCTTCTTATGACTGATAAGGGTTGTGTAAAGATCGCAGATTTTGGACTGGCTAGGTGGTTTGGTTTACCTTTAAAGCCAATGACTCCTAGAGTAGTAACATTATGGTACAGAGCACCTGAATTACTATTGCAAGCTAAGACACAAACTACTTCAGTTGATATGTGGGCAGCAGGGTGCATATTGGGTAAGAAATCAATGCTGTATATGCAGTGTATTGTTGTTTTAATTATATTAATTTATCATAATAATTATCAGGGTTGGATAAATTAATGTTTTTTTTAAATTAAAAAAAGTTAAAATTAATGGTTTATAAAATTAATAAAATTAAGTTAAAAGTTGAAGGAATAAAATAGTAACTTAATAAAAGTTAAGATTGAATTAACTTAAATTTAAAAAAGTTAATTTTGAAAAAAATTATTTTTGAGATAAGAATGTCCTAATTTTTCTTAAAATGAGATTACTTTAAATAATACTTAAAATATAGATAAATTTAATTTTTTTATTCGTAGTAAGTTATTTATATACATATAAGAGTCACATCATAAGGTTTTTATCAAAATCTTGCGAGAAGGGTATATATTATTGGCATTATCTCTCTTTCTTCAACCTTTATCTAACTTTTTTTTAACTTCTGAAGAAACAACTACTCACGCATGTTTACGATTACATCGACTAGATATTTGTTACAAAAAATATACGTAAAAATTTAAAAAATAGGTGGATGTACAGTACTGTTTTACAACAATTCTTCATCTAAGGCTCATTTCATATTTATGTTGCTGAAATATGTTTATGACACCTAAAATTAGTGTTATTCAAATATAAGCTGGAATTGACAAAACCTAGCGAGCCAATAAAAATTGGCTACTGTATGGCTCTTATTATAGAGTCTCTAATCATAAAATCATTAAACTTTTTTTAATATTAATTCTCTAATGTTTAAGATTTTATAGAAAAAAATATTAGCATTAAGAAATAGAAAAAATTTTTTAATTTGAAAAAGTTAATAAATTAAAGTTTAGAAGTAATCAAGTAATTAAATTAAGTTAAAAATTAATGCATTTAAAATTAAATAAGTTAAAAGTTATTAACTTTTTAACTTTTTTTAACTTTTAACGTTTTAACTAATTAATACCCAACCCTAATAAAATTATGTTATATATAATTTATTTATTACATTAGAATATATTCACAAATATGTGTACTATATATTGCTTCTTTTATCCTTAGGAGAATTATTGGGTCATAGACCTTTATTACCTGGTAGATCAGAAATCGCACAATTAGAGTTAATTGTCGATTTGTTGGGTACACCCAGCGAAGCTATTTGGCCAGAATTTAATTCCTTACCAGCGCTACAGAATTTTACACTTAAACAGCAACCATATAATAATTTGAAACAAAGGTTCCCCTGGTTGAGTGCTGCTGGTCTTAGATTATTGAATTTCTTATTTATGTATGATCCAAAAAAGAGAGCAACTGCCGAAGAATGTTTGCAGAGCAGCTACTTTAAAGAAGCTCCTTTACGTTAGTATTATTTAGACTTTTCTTAAATTGCTTTTTACTGTAGTTAATAATTCAAATTATTTATTTAACAGATCGATTTGATATGTTGTAGCTTGCGATCCAAAACTAATGCCTACCTTCCCACAACATAGAAACATGAAAAAGGCAGCTGCGCAGAAAGAAAATCGTGAGCAAGAACCTATTGTTACCGATCAAACCAATAATCTACCGGCAATTTCAGATTTGGTATGTTTTATAAGAAAATAATACATATAATGATTACAAAGGAAAGACCAGAAGCATGTTTTTGAAATGCATTTAAAATGCTTTTAAAATAATTTGTTGCAAAAATTTCTTTATGTGCTAACATTAAAATAAAAACCTTAAACTCTTAACTTCAGATATTTCTTAATTTTTTCAAAAATATACAAATTTTCAAGTTATTGTATTGATTATAATCACTTAACAAGATGTTCTCAGGAAAAAGAGAAAAAAGTTGAATATTACATATTTCAAGA